CAACAGGAGCCTAGGTTGCAACATAGTTACGAGGGAGTAGACGACGACAACAACGACATAGTGACGAGGGAGTAGACGACGACGCTCGGTTGTTTTCAATGCTGTGCAATGTTTTCCTCCCCTCGTAAATAAATAGTATATATTCTCTCTGCCCTGCTTGCTTAAGAGTGTTGATGTGCGAAATATATTTTGCAACCCCTCGTTGCTTTCACCTTCCAAAGAGCTTACCTACCTACCTTCCCAGGGGAAAATTGAAGTGGTTTTGCAAGCGGTCCCACTTGCCAGCAAGTGGTTCCACTTGAGGACCACTTTGGTTAAAGTGGTTCCACTTGGACCGCCAAGTGGGACCACTTGCCTCCCAAGTGGTTGGAGTCAGAAAACCACCTGGCCCCAAGTGGTTCCATTTCCCTTCAAAGTGGTCAGTCAGAAGACCACTTTGGGGTTAAGGGGTTCCACTTGTCTCTCAAGTGGTTACAGCTAGAAGACCATTTGGACCTAAGTGGTCAGTCAGAATGCTTCTGTTCCAGCCCTTCTATGTGATCAAAACATCAGTCATAAAGTTTACCATTTTCACCTTATGCTTCGAAGAGGTCAGTGTCAACACCCATTTGGCTCCACTTGGGTTTAAGGAGCTATTATTTGAATTTAGTTACGGCACTTGCCTCCTACAAATGGCAATTTCACAAGATATTCCTTCATATATATTTCGTTCACACATGAGAAGATGAAGTGTGCTACAAAACTGTAGAAAAACCAGTGATAAGAAACGTAACAAGCTCCCCTAAATTAAATATTTTCCCTGGAGAAACTTCGCAAATGAATTCACAGCGCCAACAAGGTACAGGAATATTCGTAGATTTCAACCAACTTAAACAGTCGGGAAAGCCGATAACTATTATACAACGCATATAGGAAAACCAAAAGTCGGGTATGTTTATCCGAAGCGTATGCCAAATCACACAATACAATTTAACAAACCTACCTGTGCTCGAAAGTTAAAAAAATAGGGAGACTAACAGGAGTAAACATTTCGATAGAAGCAGCCATTGAGTAAATGGCAAATAACAGGAGTTGAACGCATAGACAATCAAATGGTTGGTAATATAATGTACAAAATTGTAAAATATTTGAGATATATGTTTTAAAACGTGCCTTGCATAAATATTATGCCAGTATTTTGAAAAATGTTTTTACTCATATTCATTGCCGAACATACTCATTCACTGCTGGATCACTGCTATTGTTCAAGCCTTTTGCCGACTCCTTCGGCGTCCGCTGGCTCGCGTGCTTTGCGAGTCGTATGTTTTGTCTTTGTGGTAACCTTCAAACCATGGTCGTGCTTCAAACACTCCAAGGACTGAAAATGAGCCCCAGCACAAATGGATTGCTTTCGTCTCGACGCGAGGAAGCGGTAAGTGCAAGTCTTGATATGATAGCTGTGTTAAGCGAGTCTGTTTGGCAATTGTAGACATATGGAAAAAAGAAATAAAAAAGGACATGGAGCATTTGCGTTGTACGTTCAGACTTTTCTTTTAATTCTTTTTTAGGGCAATGGCAAGACGGCTTCTACACAACACGGCAACAAGGTTTCTCAGCGCAAAAGGTTTAACAGCAAACCTCGAAGATGCTCCGGGCCGCCAGAAGCACTGATGTGTAAAGGATAACGGAAGGGGCAATAGAATAATCCGGCCAATATCAACTGGCTCGTGGTTGTTCCTTGACATAGTTCAGAACATGGAACATCTGAGCACGAGTGAGTATTGAGGTGCCCGACCAATTACCACTTGGATGTCCGACGGCTGTTTACTGGAGATTTGCGGATCTTTAGTGAATGTCCACCGGATATCTCTGGTCGGTTGGCATTTACAAATGGTTTATGAAACTGGCGCCACTCACAAGTGGTACCACTTGCAAGTGGATTATGGAACCGGCCCCACTTGTAAGTGGTTCCACTTGCAAGTGGGGCCGGTTCCATAATCCACTTGCAAGTGGTCCCACTTTGAATTTTCAACAGGGGAGATCGGGGTAATTCCAGCTAGCGAGTAACATTGGCCATCCATGTTTTCCGCTTGCCACTGTAAACACTGGTACGCATGCCAAATGATTGGTTTCTCATTAAATGAACCCACAGGAATGGAGTAGTCGCTCACTTCGAAAATAGGACAGCTTGCGTGTTAATTGCAAAAGTCAGGTTCAGTCTTTTTATTTACACACAGAGGAGTAAAATAACATTCTGAATGTACTTTCGATAAGTCTGCTTTTCTACTCGCATTTTTGTCGGAACTATAAACAGGTTTGGAGCAATGCTTGCCACCCACGAAGCAAAGGTAATGGGGAGAAAGCATGTTTGATTAATGCAGGGTGTCTAGAAAATTATTCTTTTGAAATTCCCGGACTTTTCCAGGTTTTTTCTCACAATTTCAGGTGAAATTCCCTGACCATTACAACACAAGGCATTGAGCACAATGAGGATTATTTTGCACAGGCCTAATCTAACTTGCATATTCCGAAATATTTGGGTTTGTCAAGTCCGGATTAAACGAGCACTTTCTTACCGCTGATATTGTCAGTGAAGAGGCCACTTCCAGAAACACGATGAAAACACGACGCTCAACCACACATGTCAATAACCAAATGGCAACATAGCCGCCAGATGCACTTTTGGATACTTTCGGCCTTTCGGCTTGGATTGGAGTCTGCGGCTATGGTGGCTAGAGTTCGGTGTGTCGAGCGGCGGCCGGCGCGCGGCACCGAAAGGGAAATTTGTCGCCAGGAGGCGCCTCGGAAGGCCTGGGCTGCTATCCTATGATGCTATCCGACCGCGGCGTTTTGGCTGCGCTGGACCCGAAATGCGCTCCGTGCTACGCGGCCACTTGTTGGCTGCGTTTTTTTACAGAATTGGCGTGGCATAATGAAAGTCTGATAAACCTGGATTCGAAAGTCGACCCCACTGATCTCTACAATAGAGATCAGTGGTCGACCCGATTGTGGAGCGTCGACGAAGGAAAATGCGCACTTGAAGTCAACCATTTCGTCGTTTACCCTGAGACTGGGTTTTTTTTTGAAGAGCAGAAGTAACAGAAAAAACAGACAGGTCTCAAAAAAACAGAAGAGCAGATGTAACAGAAAAACAGACAGGTTTTTTCTGTTACTTCTGCTCTTCAAAAAAAAAAAACCCAGTCTCAGGGTAAACGACGAAATGGTTGACTTCCACCAGCTAGCCTGTACTTTGACTCTTTTCACTTGAAGTCGTTCGTCTGGAACCACTACCTTCAAGGCGAAGTGCCAACCCTGCGGGAAAGAAATTTCGGGACCAAGAAAAACAACCTCCACTTCAAACTTAAAGGGATACTTCACCGAAATTTGAAATATTCCCGTCGTGTTCAAAAATACGTTGAATATGATCCACAATATCCGTAAATGACAGTCGCGCGTTTGTATTTTGAGCCTGGTTGCTGTATTTTTCGTTATAAACGGCCCACTCTGTCAAGCGCTCGGAGAAGGCCCAGCGGAGACCACGTGACATCCAACGCAATCGTGACGTAGGTCGTCTCAAGACGAGCAAAGCTACGGCGAGGCTGACGTCGAGAGGATGGCCTAGTCGTTCCAGCCACCGAAGCGGCTGCTTTTGTACGAATTTTGAGTGACGGGTTAATCTTCTGTAATCTTGTAGGGGGACAATGGCGACTTCTGCGACACACAAAAGGCATTCTCGGGAAGAGGGGAGTTCCTCCTGCCCCTCTTCTCTCGTCGTGGCCGGAGACGAGACAACCTCCGTCACTAGCTGTCAAGGTTCCTAGACGGCATTACAAGCGAGGCGTTAGCGACATATCCACCAGGTGCTATTTGCTAATCGTTTAATTCGTTTTAAAATTCCTTTTCGTGACTTTTTTAACAAGATATAGGCATGTTCGATGTGATGCTGCTTTTTTGAACACATATGGACCAAAAAATGAGCGCCGAAATTTCGTTGTAGTATCCCTTTAAAGCCTCATCTCAGTTGGCGTCTCAAAGAAATTTGAAAAATGTATTGCATTATCAGTATTTATATTTCTGCCCTCCCTAAAATGTATTCTTGTATTTGAAATTCCAAAGACTTTTTGCCTTTTTTTAATGTATTTCCGATACATATCGGGATACATTTTTACAGATATATTTGAGACTTGAGTATCAGTATCTTAGCAACTATTTTCATCTATCCCAGCATTTGTATTTCCAAATACATCTTTGAATATTTCTGCCCAACGCTGCAACGTAATGCAGCTGTCAAGTGACACTTTTTTACGTCTAGGAATTAGAGGAATGGAATGGAACGATTCAGCCATTCCAGGAGTGGGAATGGGCCCAGTGTCCCCATTCCTAGGAGTTGAAAGGAATGGAATTATCGAAAACTCGGGGTGCCTATTCCGCAACACTGGTGTGAATCATTTGGATACGTCTGAATCATGAATCATGGGTTCTGTCTGAGTGTCCGGCTATCGCTGACCTAGTGAAGAGGAGATGTTTCTTTTTTGGTGGTGAGGGTCTTGAGGTATATGTAGCTGCGTTCGTTGTCCAAATCAACTAGAAACTGTGTTTGAGACTTGTAGTTTTGTTAGTTTTTTTTTTTTTTTATCGTTCCGTGTCTCCGTTTTCTGTGGAACTTCTACATTTATTGATATATTTACAGGAGTAAGAATGAAAGGGAAAAGCATACAGACACCAGTGTATCATTTTCATGCATAATATAGTAGGTAAAACTCATACAGAAGCAGAAAAAAAAACACCAATACTACAAACACATCCCCCCCCCCCCCCCCCAAAAAAAAAAAAAATAAATAAAAAATAAAAACAAATTGGCGGCGCCGGCGGCGCGCCGCATTTATTGTGCGGCGGCGGCGGCGTGCTGGCTCACTGGCTCTGGGGATTCCGGCGGCGGCGCAGGGCGGAGAGAGCAAAACAGGCGGCGGCGGCGGCGGCGGCGGCGGCGGCGGCGGCGCGGCGCGGCGGCGCACAGGTCTACGCGGCCAAGCCAGCCGTTGTTATGGCTATTGGTGCTATTATCAAGCGGCCAAGCCAAGCCAATCTAATTCACATAGCGCGTTTGGTGGGTTTAGTGTGGTGAGGAAAGTAGGTAGATAGTTCCCATCCGAAGGAGAATTATTCGTTGTGGCGGCACGAGCAGCACGAGTCTCTTACACCGTATGGGTATGCAGCAGCACACAGAAAACAAGAACAGCTGCTAAAGTTCATGCTAGACAACGGGTGCATTTTTTCGGTTTCGTGAACTGACATGTGAATTGTTTGCATCTGCGTTTCTTCATCTGTCCCGAGTTGTCAAAGTTATGACTCTACTGTGCCCCAAAGCGGATGCCTGCGGCTTTTAGCCGCGAAGATAAGCATGGAAGCACGGGTGTTCATAAACGTAGATGTCGAACCTTTCTGCACGGAGCTGGTTTTTCCTGTGGGTGTTCCGGCGAACGGTTACGTTCGAATCATCTTCGGGAACTTCTCGAAGACTTGCCTGAAAAACAATAATGCTAACGAGGAGGCAAACAGTCTCGATGCTAATAATGTTGCAACAGGTGTTAGCGACAAGGTTTTGGTACGATCCCCGTCTGTCGATGGAGAACCTGTTTGTACGCTCAGGACCGCCACCCTGCCAGGAGACTTGAAAGATGACCCGCAGGACAGCGAACAACCCATTGACGAGAACGGAGCTCCGAAAGAGATCATTCCAGAAGAACCGCCAGTCTCGCCGTCGAAAGCCCTGTCCGCGTACGAATTGTCCAGCAAAGATCGCCGGAAGCAAAAGAACCCAGTGAAAATACGGCTACAGAAGTTACCTGCGAAACGTTCGATAGGCGACAGCGTTCCACCTGGTACACGAAGATCAGGTCGTAAGCGAAAGCCGGTTAGTGTGCGTTATACAGACAGCAGTGGTGATGAGGCGGCGGACGGACTCGACGCAGACGACAACTGGAGTGGCTCCGATAGCTCCGTAAAATCGCTCAGACCTGTAAAGCAGCTGCGCGCAAAGAAAGTTTCCAGTTCCGAGAATGCCACTTCTCAAACTCTTAAAGTGGCGGCACTCAAGATCAGAGCTTTAAAGCAGCGGTCTAAGGAGAGGAAAGCAGTTAATATTTCCGATCAAACTATTTACAACTGCGACGTATGCGAGAAAACATTTACCTCCAAATCCAAATGGTGCAAGCACTCTTGGTGCCACAGGCCAAAGGGAGACCGGCCTTACAAGTGCAACCATTGTACTCAGGCCTTTGTAAGCAAGAATGCCATGGAGAGGCATCAGTTAAAGCATGCTAAAGCCATGCCCTACACGTGTGAAAAGTGCTGCATTGGTTTCACAACCTCCGAGCATCTGACTGAGCACTTGCGGGGCCATAAGGACTACCGGTGTGAATGCTGCTCTCAACTTTACTTGAGTCGAAGAGGCTTGCGAAAGCACTTGTCTCAGAGCCACAAGAAACCATCTCTGTGGAAACCAACAGCCCAAGCACCCTCTTTAGAAGGGAATGCCACAAAGCACGACCAGGAAGCTGGTAGTGTTGAGCACAAGTGTTCCAAATGTCAAGTTGTGTATGAACATGAAGAGGCGTTGGCTGACCACACAATTGCAGCACATCCAGAGCAGCAGGTATTTCCCTGTGACTCGTGCCGCAAGGTGTTTACAGATCACAGCTTGCTGCTAGCACATCTACGTAAACACATGGAGATCAAAATGGGGACAGATCCTAGAGACCAGACTTACCTGTGCAACATCTGTGACAAGGAGCTCAAGTCTTTGTCCACTCTCCGTGTCCATGTACAGTCACATAACAAGGTCAGAGGTCATAGGCTGTCGGCACCTTGCAGGCTGCTGCCACATGATGTCATTTCATATTTTTGACCACTATTGCTTGTTGGTTACCAAGTGAATTCTAAAAAAGCTCCGCTGCCACTGGCCATTTGACATTGAAATATTGATTTTAAAAGTTGGTCCTTTGTAATGTTTTATAAGGTGATCAAGAAGCCATTCATAGAACTAGAAAGCTCTGAATATATTTTCTGTTGGCACTTCACAAAAGTGCCACATGTATGAGCTTGGTATGTGTACAGAGGTGCTGGCTGCCCACATAGTTAAACACAACCATAGCAACTGGTGTTTTCTTCTGTTAATGGTCCTTTTTTTTTCAACTAGTTCAATTTGTTTTTGTTTTTTATTCTTTAGCGATGCTAATACCAAACCCTATCCATTGATGACCCACATTATTCATAGCTTGAATACAGCATTGTGCATCTGAATCAAGACCTTCTTCACTACACTGGTATAAATCTAAGTCGGTGGACTTCTGTTGTATTGCAGGTTCGGTCCTTCAAGTGTGACATCTGCCAGGAAAAATATACCACCCCAGGCAATCTGCGGAAGCATAAAAAGATTCATGACACTACGCAAAAGTACAAATGCCCGCAGTGTCCCAAGGAGTTCACCAACAACAATTATATGCTAAAGCACATCAAGCGTGTGCACACTCGAGACTTCAAGTATGGCTGCAAGTTAGTTTACCTTTTTTTTATTTTTTTGGCAGTGTTTGTAATCTATTTGCTGAACACTGCTAAATAGAGATTGAACATTTCAACCAGCTATAATTTTGTAGTTTCACAAAATCAGAATATGCAGTAAGTTTTGGCTTGTATGACCATTTTGTATCACATTAGTTGTTCTTTCTTAAGCAACTGTTTAATTGATATATCCTTTATTACTATGAATCCTATAGCATGTGAGCAATATACTGTTTGGCTACTAATTTTTTTATAGTGTGACTTTGTATAAGAGGAATCTGTCTATTACTGATTACATCCAAGAATGAAGTTGTGAAATCCATCACTTAATTCTTAACCTAATTGGACAGTGGTTTCGATGAATAACTTGGATTTGTACAAACCGCCAAAATGTGCAAAGACGTTGTGGAAGAACCTCTTTCTAGTCGATTCCTTCAGTTTTTGCTTAGTGTATGCTTCTTATTTAAACATATTTCTGCACTGTTTATTTATTTAACACTGACTTGGATTAAATGAGGACTTATGAAAACAAGCTTAGAAAATATATATGAATTCAGCTTACAGCAAATAATAATAGCTTTAAGTTCAGCACAAGTGCACTCGTGCTTTGGCATACCTGAACTTCAACCGTTGTATTTTTACCTCAAGTGCAACCAAGGCTCCTTGAAGGGCAGGCACACTTGCAGATGTGGCAGTTGGAATTAATTTCTGTGCGTATCCATGTTAGATGGGGAACTCAAATCTCATTTATATAAAGTCCAGTTAAGTAAGCAAGCTCATGTGACTAGCAGTAACTAGGTCACTGCTCACTAAACATATATAGAACATGCAAACTGTGTCTTATCTCATGGGAGTGCTATCCTGGTGGCAGCTGAAGAACTGCTGCATGACTTATAACTCATTTGATCAGCGCGAGCAAGGGAGGCCGCTCACTCAAGGTTAAAATCGTGGCTGGACTATGGAAAGAAATATTTTTTGCCAGTTAATCTATGCTTTTCACCACTAGTGCATAGGTGACTGCCGAAATTCAGTTATTAGATGGCCCATTTACTAGAACTATGAAATACCTACTGATTGAGTCATCCAATCATTGATGGTTTTGACAGTCACCAATGCTCCTTCTTACGGAAAAGTGGTGACAAGTGTAAATTGGCAGCAGACAAAATTGCTGCAATGTCCATGTTCCACCCGAGATTTCGACTTTTGAACGAACGGCCTTGCCTGCTCAGGCTATTGCATTGAACGCTACGTCATGGAGCAGTTCTTCGGCTGCCGCCAGGATAGCAATCCCAGGATATGAGACAGTTTGCGTATTCTGTATAAGTTTGGTGAGTACTGTACCTATTCAGTTACGTGTTTTCAACCAATGTTTGTATATCAAAGGACAAAGGGTTTGTGTTGCCATGGAACAGGGGAGCATGGCCACACATTTGCACGTGTTTTCGCGACTCAATCATTGTTCAAAGCTATCCATACATGTCTATTCATAGATGACCTATGCATCATGCAAGGTAGCGACGCAGTGTTGATACGCATGTTCTGTACTTGGCCGCAGCTACTGCCCAAAGCGGTTCCAGGAGCAGAAGCGGTTCCAACAGCACATGGTGCTAATGCACGCTGGCGAGCTCACTCCAGACGACTATGACCTAATGACACTAGTGAAGAAGCTGCAGTGTGGCCAGTGCTCTTTCACCACCTACAGCACCAAGAGCTTCCGACAGCATGAAGTGACACATACTGGGAAGTACCCCTACACATGCAGCGAGTGCAGCAAAGGCTTCACCTTTCGCTTTGAGCTGGCCAAACACGTGCGCTGCATCCACAATGCCCAGTCGTTCCGCTGCAACCGCTGCAAGCGCACCTTCACTGCAGAAGAGGTCTACAAGGTGAGTTGAACTGGCGGAGGCTGCACTATGAGAAAGGCTGTTTACTCTAGTGATGCCTTGCAGTCAAAGAAGCTTGTAATTGTTTTCTCGAAATATTTAATTATCAAAATATGAAGGTTGATTTGCTGCAATTTAAATTGTTGAACTCTACTTTGCTTCACCTTATGACGGGCCAAAGAGGATGTAACAAGCCATCAAGGCCAATCCCAGGACGTGCGAGCATCACGTGACCTTTGGGAAGAGCGCAGCGATGTGCGGAGCTGGTTATCACGTGATACATTCACTGCACTGGATTCATAGGGGTGGCTGATTGCATTCACTGCGGTCCATCACAAGGTCAAACTGAGCATAATGGCAAAGGCCGTTACCGCAATGAACTATTCCAATGTAATTACTAGCTTGCTAGTAGGTGCTATGGCCTCTAATGATTTGATATCAAGCAGGCAACATGCATGTTAACAGATAGGACATCTGCCACATGTCTCAGTTGCACAAGACTTGGCTACGCTTTGATTGAAATGATACTTGTTTCATTTCATATAGAAGGTGACAACACTGTGTGTTGCCACCTTCTATTCGCAAGTTTTGAAACAAAATGTTAATTCCACTGTCTTTGTATTCTGTTTTGAAGTTCTTTGTGTTTATTGTCTAAGCTCTGTGAAACATATCGTAGGAGCATATGATAGATGACAAGCTGCCTTATGTGTTTAAACCGAAAGCTATTCAAGTCTTCTAGAACTAACATGTGGGCCTATGTCTATGGTAGTGGCCATGGTTTACATGCAACTTGAAGGGCCATAGCAGCCATGAGCGCAATTTCCATGGTCACATAAATTACTACAATTGCTCAACTGGTAACTATGGTGTCAAAGTTTTCACTCGGTGTCCTGCTTCGTACTTGTTCAACCATGAACTCGTCGCCACATGGTAACACCCTGGAAACAGCAGTAATGAGCATTCCAGTACTGGGTACATCCATCTAAAGGCTTTTCTTGCTTGACATTAGTCACCAGGAAGCAAGATGGATAGCAAAAGTAAAAAAAGGATGGAACCCGAACTGCTGATAAAACCGAGAATTAAAAGTTCAAGTGTAGCAGAATTTTTCATAAAAACTAGTGTGGAAAAATTGTAATCATATGCTGGACAGAACATAAAGTTATCCAGTAAGCTTCAGTGGAGGGGGGCAACTATGGTACTTTACGGCGAGATCATGTGATGCCCACTACTTGACCTGTGTGGCATTCAGTTTTAGGCAAACCTGCCTGCTCACCTTGTATGCTGGCTAGCAAGCAGAGGTGCTGTGTAGAGACATCATGTGGCATTACCAGGCTTGCCTTTGCAGGTTCACAAGGAGCATCACGACAGGGGCCTCGGCATGACTTGCCCAGAGTGTGGGAACATGTATGAGACACAGGGCCACTATGAGCAGCACATGCAGGCCCATTCCAAGGAGCTTCCCTATGAATGTGTTGTCTGCAAGAAGCGCTTTGCCCTGACCCGCTCCCTCAACTTGCATCGGCTGTCGCACGACAAGCACAAGACTCCTCGATTCCGGGCATACAATGGCAACCGGAATTGGGACTACTACTGTGAGCTATGCCAAGTGTACTACAAGTATGGGTCGAGCTTGGTTGCCCATCGTGTGTGTGTGCACGGTAACGGCCCACAGACGACCTGCCCCTACTGCGACAAGAAGTTCAACAGCAGGCTGACTCTGTCCATGCACCTCCGGACGCATACGCGCGAGCGGCCTATGCGCTGCAGCTACTGTGGCAAGACCTTTCGTGTGTGGAACAGCCTCAAGCGACATGTGGTCACCAACCACACCAAGGATTTCAAGCTCTTCTGTGCACTGTGCAACAAAGGTTTTGTGTCCAAGTCCTACCTCAAAGTGCATCTCAAGAGTGCGCACAAAGCAGTCATGGCAGGGTCGGGAAAGCGCAGGCGATTGCCTCAGGGAGCGTCAGCTGCCATGGCCACTATTGTCCGTGTGAATGCACCCCTTAAGCAGCCCATCATCATCCCAATGCCATCTAAGGTGAAACGGACAGCTGGGGGATTTCCAATATTATCAGCGTGCGGGGTGTCTTTAACGGTGGCTGCTGCTTCGACTAGTGTTCCCAAGGGCCAGGTTACTCAAATATTGGAACAGAAGCAGCAGCTTCAGCAGCAGTCTCCGCAATTGCCACAGCTGCCTCCACCGCAACAGCAGCTAGCACAAGTACAAGCATCTCAGGTTCAGTCATCACCAAAGCAACCATCTCAAGGACAGGCATCGCAGCAACATGCATCTCATCTACAGCAGTCGCAGCAACCCCAAGTGCCACAGCAGCAGCCGTTGGAAGTTCAAGAGCTACAGTTGCAAGCACCAGGACTGCAATTGCAACAGCTGCGGCCACATGACCAGCAAACACAGCAACAGCGGGAGTTCTTTGAAATGCAGCAAATTCAGCATTTGGAAGGAGAAACCTATTCTCTTATGTTGCTCTGAATTAAAACCCATGGTCAAGACAAAATGCAGAACAGTTGCACACTGTACAGTTTCCTTGAATGTGGGATTCATGATTGCTGAGATTTTAGGGAAAACCCCTGTAGCCACTTAGAGCACTGGACATGAGTGGAAACTCACAATGACGTAATCTTTTGAGGGAGAGAAGGATCATCCGGTTCTTCACCATCTGCTGCCATTTCATGGTACCTTTAAAGGGATGCTGAACCGAAATCTGGATTCCACAAAACATGGCGGCAAAAGCATGCAACGGGATTCTACAAACACCAAAATATCACGCATACAGCAATATCTTGAACGGATGACTGTATTTTTCAAAAAAAGGAGGCGCATTTGACAGATTTCTTTACGTCTTGTTTCTCCGAGAAGAAAAGGGAACGGCCTCACGTCTTCTCCGCCTCGCCGCCTTGAGGGGGCGAAGTGAAGAGAGGAGGAAACGAGATATATCTTTACGTCACACTCCTCGTTCAATCTCAACCTCTTTTTCCAAAAATACGGCCTTCCATTCAAGATATCGCCTTATGAGTAGTATTCTAGCACTCCTTCAGTTTTTTTAAAATCCAAATTTCGGTTCACCTCTTTGAAGGAGCGCATTATTCGGAGCTGCTCACTTCAGTCATCTGGCCAATGATAATCAGTCTGTGAACTCTGTTTTGCCCCAGTAGACACCAGGGCAGTAAGTGATGAGGGACCTCATTTGCAGGGGGGGAGGGGGTGGAGGGTTAGACAATTACGTTTGTGGGATAAAGAAAATTTTATTGATTCGCTTGATTGACGTTAGAGTTCTTTGGGACCCCTAAGTCTGCAGATCCTTAATTGAGAACCACTGCACCAGGGAATCTGGTGCTTGGGGAACATCCAGTGACTATCAATGCTGGGACTGGCTGTAGTTGAGACTTGTCTAGAGCAACAGGGATTTTGCATTTGCTCCGAATACGGATTTGAGGTTAGAATTTGTGCATTTGAAGTTGGGGTTCATGCATAAAATGTGTCTGTATTTGCAGTATTGTGAAATTGTAATTTATTACCTCTTTCCATCCCTGCTGCATTCAGCTCACCTATCCTCAACTCGGTGCCTACTTATTGAGTTGGTCATTTCAATGTGATGCCCTTACAAAAACAGCAACCACTACCTTTCCTTTCTTGGAGGAGGCTTGTTTCTGTGAACATAATATGCTTAATATATTGTTACTTGAGCCCTGAATCTGTGAATAGACAAATATTCATCCGCTTATTTGTAAGTGAACTTGGAAGTCATCTCAAGGACCTGTAAGTGGTATAGTACGTGTGCATTTTCTACCTCTGAAATATGAAGGTTTACTTGTTAGCATATGCACATGTTCATTGAAAAGTCATTCAGTCATAACCGTAACTATGTCCATGTTCTAATTGTGTCTTAGGAACATGGCTTTGCATTGTTTCGTACTCGAGCTGTATGTCACCAGTGCATGTAGAACATGATGTTAACATTATTCTCATGACCTTTCACTTAGTTTCATGCAGACAATGCAATATCATAAAGCATGGGCAGTGCAAGCGACCTTTGAAATAATTGTGGTGGTGACATCGACCTATTCCCCTAGCTGCTCCTAGTAAATAGAGGAATGGGGGTATGATGTTCCCAAGCAAGAGTGTGATGTATAACATTTTAAACAGCTTATTTTGTTCTTTCATCACGGTGTCTACCACCAGCCAAAGTCGAAGTTTAGGAAGATGTGCAACTCTCCACATCATTTATTTCTTACCTCAGGAAACATGGTAGAAGGGTAGCCAGAATTGGGGACACAAAATCAGGTTATTACTGCAATAGCAGTTAGTGGGACACTTTGCGGGTTTTGCGCCGTTGATTGTGCCCCACTCGACGCGGGCCTTCCACACTGACGTCACGCCGCACATCACATCACCTGTTACCTGGCGTCAGCCGACACCATGACGCGACATTGTCATGCCAAGTCACTTTGCACTGACATCACATGACACCATGAGCCACGTGATGTCACGACGTCCCAGAACACTGATGTTGCGTGATAATACGTTGTCACGTGCAACCATGACGGCTTGTGGATACATAAACATGAGACTGCTGATAATGGAAACAACAAAAGCAAAGCGTTTTCGCTAATCATGCCAGGAAGGTTCTCGGGCGATAAAACCAATAAAGCTAGGTGAGTGTAAGCCGGCGAAACCACGGGCATGAAATTAGGTGGAGCTACCCGCTCGAAACTTGAGAGTGCGATTTCGGAAGTGTTCTTCAGTGACCACAGGGCAGTGTTAGTTTGTGTCCAATAACATTGCATAAGAAACTCAGGCAGCCATACCGACACGGAATGGTTCATGCATACACATGCAGTTTCGTCGTTCCCTGAATTTCCAACTTGGGCGCGCGAATTTCTAAGTGTTCTTCAATTACCACAAGGCAGTCCTAGTTTGTGTCCAATAACATTGCTTAACATGTTCATGAAATGCTCTCTACTTAATACACCCTTATTGGTTCCAAAATGCTATGCAATTTTTGTCCTGCATGTTACTCAGTTTAATGGGAAAGGCCCATGCGGACTGGTGCAATTCTTCAAGATGACAGAGATGCCCCTGAGAAAAAAATACAATTGACTCCCTATTTATATTCTCATGCCTTCTTTTGTTTGTGTTAGAAGAATGCAATGCCTGCAGCAGATGTTTCTTCATTTTCTTAAGTGCACCAGATTCTTCAAGACAGTTGTTTGCGACGGTTTGCACAATTTTGTATGGACCAACAAACTTCACCGAGCACAACCATGTCCTTGTAAAATAAAGTAATAGCAGTATACACTGTCTAATCACTAGTGTTTTGTTTGCCTAATGGATTTTTACTTTCGGCTGAATTTCCTAGGCTCTTGAAGTATGATATGCACCAAACTTGCACCACGGTCAGGAAAGAAGATGCATGGGTAATTGCAATACATTTTGTTCATTGTTTTATTATTTATATCTAACAATGTGAAGAGGTCAAATCTCTGGTAACAAAATAGTGCATGCCTAGTTTTATGAAATACATTCTTAGAATTGTTTTTCTTTTACAGAATGAAAAGAATTAATGTATCCCATAAAATTGAGATATAATCCCTCAGATACTTTCAGATTTGCTTCTTTGAGATATGACATTTTAGAGGACCTTAAAATGAGTTACCAGTGAGTTGAAATAAAAGATTAGCAGCACGTAAAAACAATGTACTTACATTAAAGAAAAGGTAAATAAAGAGGAGACTTATAGTTATGAAGTATTTTAAAAACTCATGAGAAAAGGATAAATAAGCACGGCACAATTCATACACTTCAATCTTAACCAAATCGTCCAGCAAAAGAACAGTACATATGATACAATTATATTGGTAAGATTGAGGAAGAAAAAAAGGGGGGGGGGGGGGGGGGGGACATTAGGTTAAACCACTTTTTGGGGTTGATTTTGTTGAATGGCTGCCCTAGCTAAATGACTGGACTGAAAATTCACATAAGAACCTACAAAAGCCATAATGAAACGAGTGGTCATTACTCCAAAAAGAAGCTATTTTTTCTATCCTTAAAAATTCCAGAGATGATTCAATGGAGCTTAGAAGTGTTGAGATTTGTCTGAAAAAGAAAGTGAAAAGAGTAGGTTAGCAAACCAAGTAGAACTTAATAGCAGCAATGAATACAATGTATGTACCAAGTTAAAAGGCAACCCTAAACAGCAAAACCAGTGCTATTTTTTCCACAATAAGTTTGCAAACTTTCATCAGATATTACCAAAATTAAAAACAAAAACAAAAAACCCTTGAATTTATTTTCTAAAAGCAAAAATTACACTATTAACCACATTTCTCATCACTGACTGGCTGCCATGATAGAAAAGGCTGTATAAATTTGGAACAAGACCTTTTATCAAATACTGTTTCATTGAAACCATCTCGTCAAATGCCTTTGAAACACAATTGGAACGTCAGTCATTCTTGGTTTTAGTGTTCCCATGTTATTCATCAATTGCAATGCCCTATATAAAATGCCTGCCTTCTGAGTGAGAGTTTTGCAACCAAGCTCAGTTATTGAATGACCATTACAAGCCATTGTAAATGGTTTACTGGAGATAAAAATGCTAGCACAACTGAAATTGCACATCTTTATTTTTAATACTTACATCTTGCACCTACGAAAGTGTGTGTGTGTTTCATTGTACTTTTCTGAAGAAAACAAACACTCGGCAAGCATGAGTTATGATTAGGGTGCTCTTCAAATTTGGGGAGGGGGAGTTGAATTTTTTTTAAAATAAAATTGGCATTTTTTTGTGTCAGACAAGAAATCAATGTTTATGGGAACTTAGGTTGATAAAACAGGACACGGCACAGAATTCCCGAATCTCCAGACAGTTCAGTGTGGCTAGGCCACACTGAACTGTGTGAACTTCAGTGTAAACGCAAATTAAAATTGTAGTTGAATATTTCTTCCCTTGAAGCTTAGCAAAAGCTCCAGGGGTCGTTTGGTTTTCCCCAGTTTTGATAAACTCGACTCGGGGGGGGCGATTTTCGGGGTTTATCGGTATTTACCGAAAACACAGAGTTCTACAGGGTGATTCAAGGAGAGGCCAGGCTCTTTAAATCGACCGCAAAATTCGGTTCCTTAACCTATCGCGCTACGACTTTGTGCAGCGTTGCCCACAGATGGTGCATTTTTTTTTGTAAAATTTGCAAAGAGCGAACTTACCTGAGGAAAAAGTAAAGAAAGAAAAAGGCTTAGCTCCTATGGAAATGCATCGAAGCTACCGGTCTTCAAACAACACGGTGCCGCTTCGCACAGGAGACAAGAGAAGGCGCAAGCGGTCGCGACGCCAACTGCCGCCAACGAACGAGCATACGACGTTGAGAGCCGGCGTCTTTAGCAGACAAGGAACTGCAGTTCCTTGTTGTTACCGCACCTGTTTTTGTTTCTGCGACTCTCGCCGCCTGCGGAACGCGCGCCGCTTTTGAGTTGAAAAGATTGTCTGCTAAAGACGTCGGCTCTTGGTGCCGTATGCTCGTTCGTTGGCGGTGTTCGTTGCGCCATCTCTTGTCTCCCGTGCGAAACGGCGCCATGTTGTTTGAAGACCGGTGGCGTCGCTGCGTTTTTATAGGAGCTAAGCCTTTTTCTTTCTTTACTTTTTCCTCAGGTAAGTTCGCTCTTTGCAAATTTTACAAAAAAAAAATGCACCATCTGTGGGCAACGCTGCACAAAGTCGTAGCGCGATAGGTTAAGAAACCAAATATGCGGTCAATTTAAAGGGCCTGGCCTCTCCTTGAATCACCCTGTAGTTATGGTGCAGCTTCATCTATGTAACAATCGTTATGTGACATTTTCAATACCCTCCTGGTCTTAAAGCTTATCCGGGTTTAAAGTGATGCAATTGGTCCAAACCAATTTGAGGCATCTCCAGAAGTAGCAAACAGAACTTTTGGAGCCCCTACAAGCATATATTTCATTCTCACTCATTTCACCTCAAACAGTATGCTATGCTAAGATTCATTAGTTGACCGGTCTAACTAAAAGACAAAGCCTTCTTTGTTATCCCACTCCTGTACAACAACTCACAAGCATCTACTATAGACAGCTCGAGTCCCTCAAACATCCAAATAGCCATTTCGTTGTGCTGAAAGCACCATTCACTTGTATTATTAAACTCTTTGCAATTCATTCTGGTCTGGGAATAGTGAGTCGCTACAAAATGTACCTGTTTACAGTGTTTTAGCCAACAAATTAACACAAATGGTAATGTTTATGGCTAGTCTTTAATAATAATATTGATATAAATAAGAACAGTAACAAAAGATCTACAACAATGTCACATGAGTCAACAGAAGAACTTCTGCTTTAAAAGAAAAATATCACTAACCGCTGATTTCGATAAGTTTTCCTTTCCACTCCGCGCTGAGTTCACTCACGAAGTGCTGGAAAAGGCTGATGCTTGGTGCTAGACTTGTTTTCTTGTAGTCTTTCATGACCGGGCTTGTGTTTTCAGACTCTTTCTGATTTGCGTCATAGGCATCAATCTCATTAAACAGGTCACTATAGTGGACAACAAAAAAAAATTAATCAGATGACAATAACTAATTTTCTTCATTTCAAGCTCACAAATAATATTCAAAAACTCAATCAATCATGTTCAATCGTATTTAAAAACTCAAATAAACATGTCCGTTCCCCTAAAATATGGCCGATATTATTCACTTTTTTTATCATGTAAAACTGGTAGTGTGTTCTTTTCTGATAACTTGCCTTGGAATGAGCATATTTCCCATATTCCTAGTCAGCTTTAAAAAGTAGTAGACATAATAATTAACTAAACATCTAGAGTTCCGTCCAGACAGAACAGTAGCAGACACAGTAGAGTTCCGTCCAGTTGGAAGGATAGCAACCGGACGGAACGACAGAGAGCCCCGTTGAGTCCCGTTGGTTCCGTCCTGAGTGCCCAGTAGAGTATTGTTCCTTTTTGTCCAAGCTAGAGTAACAATAACAAGCTCTCGGTCAATTTTTTGGGGGATGCCAAGGTGTTTTTTCTTGCGATTATTTACAACATGGAGCCACAATACCAGGTTCTTACTATGCAAACCTAATTACAAAATTATGCACTGCAATCAAGGAGAAATGTTGTGGAAAGTTGAGACAGGGAGTGCTCCTTCATTACGACAATGCACCCAGCCTCACTCAGGCCTTGCACTACCAATGGTTGCCATTCCTAAATAAAGCCTTGGAAATGATGTCCACTGTATGAACTGTAACTCTCAGTGGCTACATTTAAAAAAGAAGAGGAACACCTGCAGGGAAGGAGATTTTTAATGAGTATATGAGGTGCTGGAGATGCGTGGTTTGCAGAGGTTGGACAAACTTTTTTCCAGGAAGCAGTAGAATTTTTATAGGATTGCTGGGACAAGTGCATTTGACTTAAGGGGGGACACTGGCTAGAGGTTGAACTTCTGAACTAATCAGGTGATTGGAATGAAATCTGCAGGGGAGATTTAACTTCAGATGTAGGTGTACTGTACAAACTTTCAGCTCTCTAGGACAGCTTTAGGACAACTGCTTGAATATAAAGTGGGGGATGTAGGACTTCGGGCTATCTAGTTTTTATAAATAAAATTTAAATATTTAAGGAATAGTGATTACCTCGAAATACGAGATGCATATCTGTCCCATGTCAATTTTTGAAAACATAGTTTTTTCTCATTGAGGACTTTAACTTAAAACAAAATAAAGTAGATAGCCCGATTCCCCAGTAAATTTCAGTTTAGAAACATCTTGATTGTGGTATCGGAATAATCTTACCTTCGAACAAAAGATTCCTTCGTATGAAATTTGTAGCGAAAAGCGGAACTGAGAAAAATGCATTTAAACATTGAACTTCTTTACTTTGTTACTGCCTCACAATGTGTTGAAAATATTTTATATCAGTGTAACTATTTGGCGCATGGTTATAAAATTTAGTATAAGGGTGTATAACTAGTTTCTAAAACCGAAAACCTCAAAATTGAAAAATGAATTTTTTCAAAAATTATTGAAGCTTAGGCCCATGTCCGTGTGTGTGTTAAGCCGTCTGTGTGTTAAGGAAGATTACATTAAATAGGAACATTGCCAGTTGTTACTCCAGAAATGGGTCAGGGGTGAAGTATACTATTCTTTCTGGGCGGAACTTTAGCGACAACTATAGTTCCGTCTAGACTGAACTCTACAGGGTTTGCTAACTTTCCGTCTGAACGAAGCTCTAGTCGTGAATATGGTTCCATCTGGACAGAACCCTAGCCACAGTCAATAAATAAATATAGAAACACTTTACTGACAAGTATAAAACTTCAAATTTATAAATCATTTTTCTATCGCAGCTTATATTATGCACACCTAGTGTGGGGATCAACTGGTGTAACTAGTAACTCAAATACACTCAATGTTACAAAAAAAAATATATATATTTTCCAGCAGTAGTAAATGTTCCTTCAATTTACCCATTATTACCTATTTTGTAAGTATTCCATAACCGATACACAAAAAATTTATTCCAACGATTATTATTAATGTATCAGTCTGCCATAAAAGATCAATTCAAAACTTTTCCAAACCTCGTTGACCTTCGCTTCCACAATTCGGCACATCAAACTCGTCAGATACATTCATGGCATATTCCTCAATCACGCACTAACTTTAGATGTCAAAGTTAAATAAATATATACACTGCTTGAACTACTAAAGCACCTTGCCTCCCTAGAAATTGATGTCACCTCACTAAACAAAACTGCCATACTTAAGATTGTAATAAAAATGTGCATTTTCTGTATAGTTAATGTATTTTGTTATTATTATTAATGTTATTTCTTTTTAGTATCATGTTGTCATGTACGGGTACCGCCGATCAGGGGCATAGCCAGGGGAAGTGGTGTGGGCACGACGCCACCTGCGGACCCCCCCCAACGAGACCACGTCCAGCAAAACAGACAAAGGAGTTTCATAAGCACTTCACTGAAAACCCTTTCAGCCGCACCTGCAACGTGTGCAACCCAATGCAGTTCCCAAGTGCAATGACTGGCGTCTCTGAAAGGGTGACCAGTCTACCCCTCCAAGAGTTCTCCGGCGAGGACGCGGCTCACTTTAGGGCCTGCTCCGCTTGCCGTTCCTCTCTGTCGGCTAGGAAGGAGCCCCCGCTATCCAGGAGCAATGGTTTTTATTTCTTCCTTCTTCACTTCTGTACAATTTCTAGATTAGACCATTCTTGAGAAAGTCGCAGTACAGCGCGCTCTTACGTCCTCTCCGGCTCCAATTCCTTTCGTTCCGATATGACTAATGCCCGAAATTATGGTGCTGGAGTTGCTGCCGCGGCAGAAACGGCAGGGCTGCTGTAGCATTTAGCTTGACGCTGCAGCACATTGTTACGCTGCATTTTCCCCAATAACGGGGAAAAGGGGCTTTCTTTGTGTGTGTTCTTTCTGATTTTGTTGTATGACTGATTATATAATATTCCCCTCTTTAACGTTCAAGAGGGTCTTTCGGGTTCATAAATAAACAAATAAATAAATCATGTGCACGAGAGCACCCAGAAGCTCAAGCATTGGAGCAAGGACTAGGCTAGAACAGTCTAACATGTAAATGAACCTAAATATACTACAGTAGCGTTGGAGGAATGGGGTTTGCCCTTCACGACAAACTCCCTTCCTCCAATGGCTGCTGCAGGACTGGAACCAAACTTTCTTTAAAAAAAAGGCAAGTCTTACCAAACAGTGGGCACCTTTGTAGGGTCAAAAGCATGAACATTGGTCACATCAATGGGTACACACACTCGTCCAGTTTTTGGATGCACACAGAATGGTGCCTTCAGAAGGTGCTGGACGCCTTTTGTAACTGCAATGTCCAGCCGAGGGTAGCAGAGCTCTAGCATCACTTCCTCAACGAGAAACTGGCACTTCAGGCTCTGGAAAAGAGTCATCCTTAAGCTCTGAACTACACACAATGCACCAGTTTAACAAACACTTTAAGTGTACCTCCTTGTTAGAATTTTTTTTTTTCTGAGGAAGCTATTAGATTTACAGTATGATGCCATACATAAAAATTAAGCTGCAATACTAAATGGGCTTTTGAATGATGGAAACATCAAAGCAGACTTCAATTACAATCCAACATTTAATTCGTCAAACACAACTGTCTTCTAAAGATTGGTCGAAACCGCGGGTAAAGATATGGCTATATCTCTGAAAAATCGCCAAAGGATTCGTGAGAATTGCCACGCCTGCGAACGCGCGTCGGACCCGAAAAAGCGGCCATGGCGGTCACAAACAGCGTGCCGTGGGCTTCACATTCTACTTAAAAATCGCTGCCACATGGACAACTGCAGCCTTCAAACTACCTAAACCATGCTGCAGTGAGCACGAGAGCCCAAGCCGGAGTTTTGAAACGGGAAAGAGTTAATGACGCAATAGCATAAAAATAATGGACGAGTAGATGACGTAGACAGTTATGCATTTATTTTAAAGCCTTTAAGGCCCAGGGGGCATTGAAGGAACAAGTCTGTGTCAACATCTCATACTTAATCCTTCTCTTTACGCCATCTTTTTAAGGGGATTCTGCAACACATAACTACTATTTTGGAACTTGCACGACCTAGTGCAAACTAGCATGCGAGACTCTAATGCAGGGATCTCAAACAAGCGGCTCGCGGGCCGCATGCGGCCCACAAGTCCCGGTTTGCAAGTCTCAAGGGCTAGAAATGGCATGTGCCGTAGTGATCTCATATCGTCGAATCATTTTCGCTTGAAAACTAGGTCTGCTCTTTTAATGTATTCACATAGTTTATACTTATCTGTGATCATATGCCTGTTTTAAATTTTTTTTTTTTTTTTTTGCTTTCCAGCTTTTTATAATGTACAACGATTCCGCTACAAGGCTGCAAGCGCAAGCTATTCGTTGAAGGATGCATCTCGGCTGCGTGAACTCTCGATCGGCAGGAGCAACTGCTAAAGATAAAGCTACCAGCTCGGGATTGTCGCCTTCAAAAAAAAATCACCATTAAAAGACAAGTATTTGTTCAGAGTGTTGAAATAAAAATTGTCAGGAGAGCAAGAACTGCCAAATTAACTGATTGTTAGAGACACGTTGAGCTTGGTTAATTCCTCAGTGAACTGAGCAACGGGAACGACAGTGTAGTTGTTCTCTTGTTCTATTAAAATGCCAGCATGTTGGCGGTACGGTGCCTTTTTCACTCTTGTTATCACATCAGGTCAGGGTTCAAAGTCGTCATATAAACAAATCAAATATAAAGATTTCACATGGTTGAAAAAACCCAGAGATTGCGGGTAAACGACACAACACTAAAAAGTCTCTAACACAGCTGTCATTTTTATTTTCCGAAACCTGGTTATATAGGCACTTCGATACAAAAGAAAAAAAGGGGGAGAGGGTGAGAACCCCGAAGAATGCCACTTTCCACCAACGTAACCTCTGACTAAACAACAAGGACAACAGACTCTGCGTCATGCACTTCTCTTATCTTTGACCCCCCACTTCCCAACCGCCAAACACACTGGTAACCCCAAGCCCAGTGACCCACATACAAAAAGAAAAAAACGACCAATCGTCACCAAATCATGATTTTGAAGCTCCATTCAAAACAGCCTCTAGTTTATCTTCTTGCAGGGCCCTTAAGCGATATGAGCCTACTAGACTAGGTGACAACCTTATTTCAATGACTTACCTTGCGCTTTAGCCTCTCTACTGCATCCACAAACTCTGTCCAACGCTGTTCGGATGATGTAGGTGACAAGACACACTTCCTTATTTCTTCTTTACTAGCTGCAAGCACGTTAAGTAAAACCTCCACAAGCAAACAAAGTAAAGCATGCAACACGGTATAGCAGGAATTCATAACAAAATGAGAGCTCTTCACACAACACAAAATTTTCTATACAGTTTTCACCCAAGGCATAATTTAAGGTTCCCAGATGTTTCAGTTAAGCATCAGTACACAAACACGCATTAGAAGCTTGTCAAAACTTTAAAATAGTTCCTTTTGACATATAAAAGCTCTAATGTAAAGAAAGTGGCACCCTGCTAAAGAAGTCTACTGCATTAAATGGCATGTAATGACCCTGCCAAAAGAAATGACCCCTTTCAGGCACCAAAAGATACATTCATCGGGGCAATTGTTGATCACACCATGCCAGAACTTGTCGTCTTCGAGTATCCTTTGGTTTTCAAGTGTCAGAGTAGAAAAGGATTTCTTGAGGATCTTCAGGGATGCCCTGTAAGATGTGAGAAAAATACCCCAACTGTCTCCAGTAAAGGCTCGATTTCACACCTGTAACCGAGAATGACCGAGAGAGACAAGACCGGTCTTTTAAGCTTCTTCAGACGTCTTAGGATTGGGTGTGCTGCTGCGGAGCTGGTCCTAAGACGTAAGAGGCTTAAAAACCAGCCTTGTCTCTCTCCGTCCTACTCGGTTGCAAGTGTGTGAACGGTGCTTAAGGCACAAGTCCTACAGCTTACTTTATGCTTGGATGGATGGTTTTAAATATTGATACCTTCTTGCTGTTGTGGGCACCCCCCTGAAAATTAAATGAATACATTTTGTGACAGTCACCTATGGGTGGTTTCATTTGGATTCAGGTGCAGTGCAGACAGTATGTGATGCAATGCTCAATTATTCAAAGTTGAGACATGCTTCATTTCTAAAGGCCCGTTCACACTCTTACGACCTCTTAGAACTGGTTGCCTTGAAACCTCTTACAACGAGAGGACACAATGGCGCCATCTATTGGGTAGCAGTGTAAACTTGGCAGTCCGGCATATTTTCTATTTCTCTCGCGCATTATCCTTTCTTTCTTGGCTCAAAAAACTTTTGTCAATGTTATAAACGAGCCTTTCTTATAGGTATTACGCACATTTGACCTCGGAAATCCCGCAAAACCTTCGCTTTTGTGAAATGCACTTCCAGGGTCACCGCACAGATGGCGCCAGAATGCCAGTGTGTTCCCTCGTCTTAGAAGTTTTAAGAGGTTTCAACAGGTCTTGTCTCTCTCGGTCATACTCGGTTGCAGAGTGTGAAAGGCCATAAGAAATAATATCTCAAAAGAAGTGGTGAAAGACAGAGCATTTTTTTTATGAACGCCATATGAATGAGCGTGGCGGCATATGCCCCTTCATTTTCAAGGGAAAAGAAAAGAACCCTAAAATTATAAAAATTTTCTTCATCATTTGCTTTTTTTTTTTTAAATGGGAAGAAGATCGGAAGTGTGTATTTACAAAAATATACCTAAAGACAGCTCACCCCCAAGGACACCTAATGGGGTATAAAGGACGGCAAGCCAAATTTCAGTGCAGAACCCAGAAAGGCTGAGAATAAATGCTGGACTTGGTTTCTTATCCACTCATGTCTATACCGGGTGTAGCACAATTGCCCCGCGTGCAGAATCCCTGTCGCCAAAGCCCCGCGTCATTAGCCACGTCCTCACTGTCCCCGTTCTTCAACTGGCATTGTTCCATGTCGTAACCCAATTTGTTGAGGGTCTACAAAGGCTCTTTTAAGTGAAAGGAACAACAAAATACATAGCTTGCATGTGACGTCATTCGCGGCCAGGTCAGTATTTTACCAGGGTGTCTAGCAAATTATTATTTTGAAATTCCCTGATTTTTCCAGGCTTTCCCTGACAATTTCAGGTGAAATTCCCTGACCACTGTGCAGGCGGTTAAATATATGAGACCGTTACAACACGAGGCATTGAGCATTGTGAGGATAATTTTGCACGGGCTTAATCCAACTTGCATATTCCTAAATATTCGGGTTCGTCCAGTCCGCATTAAACGAGCACTTTCTTGCCGCCGACATCGTCAGTGAAGAGGTCACTTCCGGAAACACGATGAAAACCCGACGCTCAACCACACAAGTCAATAACCGAATGGCAGCATGGTCGCCAGATGCACACTTTCGGCTTAAGGCTTGGCTTGGCTTGGATTGGATTGGGGTCTGCGGCGTTTCCATTTGTTACTAAATCTAGTAGCTCTAACTAGATCTAGCCTAGTGTAGCGCCCTCAATCCAATCCAATCCAAGGCTTGGATTTCTAAGCTGCTCCCTTTGCATCAGGTAGCACACTCTACAACGGGTGAGCAGAGCCAGCGCTCTGCACTAAGCAGAATTTATTGCCCATTTTTCTGCCCCCAAGTCCTCAAGTCTTTGCTCAGGGCACTCGACAGCGTTTCCGGCTCATTTTCCCTGACTGGGCTCGCGCTTTGACAACACCCCTGACAATTCCCTGTTTTTGCCCGGTAATTAAAATTTCTCTGACAATTCCCAGTTTTCCCGGTCGCTAGACACCCTGTTTATGCGCCGGAAGTGTTCGGTTTGCCATGTTAGTTGCACACCGCAGAAGTTGTAGTTAAAAAAAAACAGTAAGTAGAAATAACCGTCAGTACCCAACAATGGCAACGCTTGCAAGCTATGTATAAGGTTGACTTGAACCGCCGAAAAGCATATATCTGCATCACCAACAATGCACTCCGCCGTCATGGAGGGAGCTCGCACGCAGAATTGGACTTCATCTACTTGTATGGATACAACTATTTTTTTTCGGACGACGTAAGAATGGAACTGGTGTTTGGTACTGTGATAAGTATGATGCCATTAGCTGCAGGTTAACAGTTTTGACAAACCCACTTCGTAGGACCTACAAGTCCACGTGCGCTTCAGTCAACGGAAGCTTTGGTTCAATGCTTACTGAAAAAAGCCGTCGCTTCAAGTGTTTTGCCATGTGACTGATATTTTCTGCTTGTTTTCACTCCTAACGTCGCGACACATTAAAAGTAATATATCACATAAACAAAGAGGCCGCATCTCCAAGTGGTGAATGATATTGATTGGGGCGAAGCTCTGGTGGTGCTGATGATACTGATTGTATTGTTCATAGCTAGTGCTGATGGTGCTGATTTCTTTTTATTGCTCACAGGTAGTGCTGAGTTCCGGGTTGCATTTCGACTTCATTATTACTGCTTTATGGTCGGTGAAATGCAGAGCCAGTGGTTCTTCTAGCGGATCAGCTTGGATCCGCTAGAAGCCGTGGGAACGCATCTCCACCGCTTAAGTCAACGGTCCATGTCAGAAAGAGAATGTGTGGTATGGATCGTGGTTATATATGCATTTGAGCATTTGACCGCATCGCCCTCTCATCTATAAACGTTAAGCCAATGCATGCAAAGTTTAACGCGATTATATACGCATTTGACCGCAGCGCCCTCTCCTGTATAGACGTTGAGCGGCTACATGCAATATTGGGGTGTAGTGTAGTGGTTAAGACGTCTGCCTCGTAGACCCTAAGGAGCTTCGCCCCTAAAATTATCACAGCTGAAACCTCCTGAACTCTTGGATATATTAGACGAAACCTGAAACGCCCTATATCTCATTTAAAGAAACTGGCATATGAAAGTTACGCAAGGTCTAAACTGGGGTATGTGGCATCAGTCTGGAACCTTCATCAAATCTACCTTATTGACAACCTCAAATCAGTTCAGAACCAGGCTACAAGATTTATCCTATCCGACTACAACCACATCTACAGGGTCTCCGCCCTAAAATGCCAGCTAAAGCTTCCATCATCGCTCGCCGCGAAATTGCTCGCCTCTCAATTTTTCACAAAATCCACTACTATCATCCTGCGCTCCGCAACACACTACTACATCATGCCCTCAGGTCATCTGCCCCACTTAGCAATCTCCAAACAAACGCCACTCATCTGGTAGCACTAACACATTTAACTACTCCTTTTCCCTGACGATTGTTGGCTGGAACGACCTGCCCCACTCCATTGTTTCACTAGAAAGCTCCGGTGTCTTTCACTCAGCCCTATCAGCTTATTTTCTTTAAATCAGATGGTGAAATCTCACTTATGCGTATACTGTATGTTTTCCTAATTACTATTTTTGTCTAAGTGTTGTTTTGCACAATTTTACTAGCTAGTAAGTGTGTTTTTACTGATCTCAACAGTGTTGTATTGACAGTATAGCCACACCATAAGGAAGTAAAGGCTTCTTCTCATCCATGAATCATGTCAAATGGTGAGTATTGCATGGTCTCATGGACAGCAGTGTTATACACATATGTCTTGAAGGGAAGTATCTCATCCTAGTTTTGCTGATCTTGCTGAATATACATCACAAGCATTGAGGAAAGTGTTAAATCGTTCCATCATATCATTGGTTTGAGGATGGTATGCAGTGGTGGTGCAGTGGATGGTTCTACAATGTCGGAGATATACTACAGATGACAGAAAGGCTCTACCCCAATCTCTTACAAGCTTTTGGGGGTCCATGATGTTGAACAATATTGTGGAGAAAGAACAATGCTATTTTTTCAGTATTTGCCGTGCTCAGGGCCTTTGTCTCCACATACCGGGAAAGATGGTCAATGGCATTAACAACCCAACGCTTTCCATGTGTGGACTTCAGAAAAGATCTAAGTAGGTCAATTCCAATTCTCTCAAAAGGGTGATTCGGAGGTCGTAATGGGTGGAAGGTGGCCAGCAGGAGCGAGTGTGGGAATCTTGCGGCATTGACACCGACGCATTCTGCAGTACAACCCGAACCAAAAGAAACGAGAACGCACACGGCTTTAAGTGCAAAATACACCTAAGTGTCCAGCAGTGGGGTCGTCATGAAGCGACTGAAGAATATCATTACGAAGGTGTTTGGGGATCACAAGAAGGGATTGTACTGCTGGCTCATAGTTTCGCCGATAAAGAGTATGGGCAACTAGCACATAAAGGTTGCTCATCTTGGCGCCTTGACTTCAAAGTGTATCGTTGCCCCTAAGTTGGATAATGTTTGTTTGTTTACACCTTTATTCAAGACATAACAGTACAGAGATGTCTCAGGGGACACGTGTCGCAACTTGGGATCTCAATGTTGTTCAGTGGCTATATCAATCACTGGAACAAGAGTGGAAATAGGAAAGTCCATAATGTCATCGGCGTCAACAGTACGCTGGAGAGGACAGCGGGACAATGCATCTTTGTCCTGGTCAGCGTGACCAGCTTTATATACAATTTCGACGTTGTATTCTCATAGACAAAGGGACCACCACATGAAACGACCCGAAGGATCTTTTATGTTGGTTAGCCAACATAGGGCATGGTGGTCGGTGACAACACGAAAGGGTTGTCCAAAAAGATATGGTCGGAATTTTGTTATGGCCCATATAATGGCGAGACACCCTTCCTCTGTTGTGAATAGGGATGCCGCAAACCACCCTAGGTTTGAATTCGAAAGGTTTGGATATTTTCGAACCGAACTGATGTTCGAATTCGAAAGGTTTCAATATTTTAGACCGTACGGAGGTTCAAATTCGAAACATTCGTAACTTTCCAAAATCGTGGAGTTTCGAATTCGAAAAGTTCGAAGCTTTCACGGTTTCTAAAAGTTTGGGTTCTATTATTTCGAATATTTGTTTACTTGAGGTTCAATGAATTCGAAGATTTCGAACTTCCCTAATTTGAAATTCGAGAGATTCGAATGTTTCAAATTTCTTTGGATCTAAAATTAGAAAGTTTCAACGTTTCG